TTTGTTTGTGTGTAAGGGATGTATTGTGTGTTTCTGTGTATGTAAGGGATGCAGTGTGTGTGTCTGTAAGGGTTGCATTGAGTGTGTGTAAGAGATGCATTGTTTTTCTGTGTGTGTGTAAGAGAAGCAGTGTGTGTGTGTGTAAGGGATGGATTGTGTGTTTCTGTATAATGAGTGCAAGGGATGCATTGTCTTTGTGTGTAATGGATGCATTGTATGTTTCTAAGTGTGTAAGGGAAACATGGTGTGTTTCTGTGTATTTATAGGGAAGCAGTGTGTGTGTAATGTGAAAGAGAGAGTTTGTGGGGTAGGATAGGGGCTACCAGAGTCCTTTGTGCTTATCTTTCCTCCCTTCCTCAGCCTCTCTCACCTCTTGTCCCTTACTGCTCTCCCCTCCTGTCCCTTAGAGCTTTCCCCTCATGTCCTTTAGTGCTCCCCCTTAGTGATCTCACCACGCCCTTTCCTGTAGTGCTCTCCCCTCTTGTCTCCTAGTGCTCTCCCCTACCCTCCTCCCCACACATAGAGCTATCCCCGGCCCCTTAGTGGTCTCTCCTCTCCCCCACCCCATTAGTGGTCTTTCCTCTGCCCCCCTCAGTGGTCTCTACTCTCCTCCCCCACCTCCCTTATTGTACTCTTCTCTTTCCCCCCCCTTTCCATTAGTGATTTCTCCTCTCCTCTCCCCTTAGTGGTCTCTGCTCTACTCTGCCCCACTCTCCTCCACCCCTTTCCATTAGTCATCTCTCTGTAAGAATATTAAATAGTTAACTTGTTTATATGTATTTTATGCTTTTATAAGGTTTATAACATGATTATTGCTGACTGAAGGGATATTGAATACTTAAAGTCAATATGCTGACTGTGACAGACTAAGGTATTTCTTCTATAGGATGTAAGACAATGCTAAATTTCAGGATGTCTTGCCCATTCCGATTTTAAGGATATTCTTTTCCAGACGTATGCAAAAGCTTATCTTTCCATTGTCAGAATAACGTAATATAAGGAAGTAATAAATCTTATAGTCTGTACTGTATTTGCATATACCATGGCTAATGTAAGCAAACTATGTATAAAAGCCAGCTCTGGAATACACTCATTTGAGAGTCTTGTAAAGCTGTTGTCCGTGTGTTATTGCTTACAAATGATCCTCCATCAACGTTGATTATGGTGACCGAGGGATCGAGAACCGAGGGGATTAGAGTCCATTACAACATTAACCCTTTCAGCTTGGTGTCTAGAAGTGGGATAGATAGAAGTTGGATCAGCAAAACCATTTGCGGTGAGTAGCCTTTTTGTGTCTTATTTGACGCTGATTGTCTATGACCCCCTTTGGTTCAGTAAGTCTGTATCCAGTAGATAGGAAAGGTGTAAGGACTCTAGTTATATTGAGACTGTAAATAGGTCTCCGGTTTATTAGACATTTGGTCTAAATATATATAGGGTTTTGGTAACCCAGGTTAGTATCTAAGATAGATACAGGTTTTTGAGACCATAAGAGGTCTCCGGTTTATTATAGGGTTTTGGTAACCCAGGTTAGTATCTAAGATAGATACAGGGTATCTCAGGTAGATACAGGTTTTTGAGACCATAAGAGTCTCCGGTTTATTATCTATAAGTATAACCCAAACTTCTCTTTCTCCCGGTCACCTTTGTTTGTCTTAAGTGTTTTTTGTGGGTGATTGTTTGTCTATATTGGGGACACACTTTGGTAAGTTAGTAGTGTCCCCACTCTGAGTCAGCAGTATGGGAAATGTGAGTTCATGTCCTGAGTGACCAATATATGTGTGTGTATGTATATGTGTATATATAAGATAGCAGTACTTTTAAACAAATGGAGGTTTTAAAAATACATAGGGATTAAGGAGAGAACGCAGGTAACTTGTTTTTCTTTGGTTTTTACCATATATTGGGGCTGATGTGTACTGTAGTCCTTGCTGCTGTCCAGTAGTGATGGGAGTGAGCGCAGGACTTATCTTTCTGCAAGATAGCAGTACTGTATATTAGAAAAGAAATGACTGACAGGTTGTACCTGATAGACCTACTTAAATCTTTTTGCTTTATTCTTTCTGTCGCATAGAAGTATAAGTTTATTACTCTGTTTTATTGTAAGTTATTTCACATGGGAACTGTGTGCCTGGTATGATTGTTGCTTTAAAAATACTATAAGCCCACTACACTTATTATGAGAGTGGGATAGTGTAAATGTGTTGCATTGTTTGCATGATGAGCTCAGTATATTTTATAACTGAGACAAAAAGTCACTTCATTAGTATTTGAAAGTTAATTCCCCATATGGGATTAATTGTATAGAAACACCAATCAGCACATCTTCCCTGCCCTGTGTGTTTGTTGCAAAGGATCCATACTGTAAATATGATTTTTGTTTGAAAATAACAGAGCAACATTTACATTTTCAGCGGTCCAACACATGCTTTATTTTGCACTGTAAACTAACCTTTTTATTGCAACAGGTTCCTTTTAAATGATCCAGTGTAATAACTACTGCTTGTGTCTTCTATGTCTCACATTATGTGATATTTTAAATTGTGGTATATAGCCTGAATCAGACATCATGGACAAAAGGTTTTTACCTGTGTTACTAAGGGCTCTTGGAGACTGACCGGTCTAAAGGTTTGCCATGCCTTTAAAACATGGTATAGTATAAATTTTTTAAGTCTCTGAGAGTTCTGAAAGATTCAGGTGAAACCATGTCTGTTTAATCTGGTCCAGATGTTTGTTCAATTTCTGTAAGATTTAAGTTGATGCAGCATCATCTCAGATTAGTTAATGGTAGTTTTATACAAATAGTTGAGTTATGAGCGCGCTATATAAATGGATCCTTTCTTTAAATACAATACTATAGTAGATTAAAGTAATGAAGTTAATTAAGAAAATGTACACATAAGAATCCCTAAAATAAATCTAAACTAAAATTGGTATACCTTCCAATAATATGTTCTGAATACAGCTGTTAACTGTTTATTCTGTGTAAATGGTGATTGTGATAATGTGTGATAAGTGTGCAGTTTAACTTGAAAGTGGTTTAATTTATGTTGCTGTATTGTTTTAAATTATATGTGAATCAGTTTGTCACAGTCTAGTGATACTGATAAGAATGACAGCCAAATAACCTAGCAAATAACTGTTTTATTAGTTGTTGAATACTAGCGTTTTGGCCAAGAATAGTTGGAGATTTGGAGGTGTTAGTTTAAGATTGCTTTTATATTGTGTCTATCTGTGTTTCCTAGGAGGGAGACAGAGTGTGTAGTTGTGTGCCCATAAATGTGATTTCTGTATTGGCATATCTGCTGGGTACCCATTATGTGTTTCTACAAAGATATTGTTTTATGAGATGACTAATATTACATGGGATGCTGAGTATGAGTTATATGGTTTGAAATGAATTGGTGATTATGAGCTTAGTACTTCAGTAAGATGTGCTAAAATTTGGAACAAGGTGGAAGCTGAAATGTTGGGATTATGGTAGAATAAGCAGTCTATATTCACTGCTTTGGCATATAAGCAGGATGCAAAGGAAGAGATTGGTAATATGATTTTTGTAAAGAAATTTTACAAGTGTTGGAAGGATGAGGCAGGTTTGATGTCTGGAGATGATATAGATCTCTTTAAAATACAGTCATGCCTTGGTAATATGTTGCCACAGTATTCTTTGCTTGTGAAACAATTGATTTCAGACTGGGCCAATTTGGATAGCTCAGATTTTCTTACCAAGGTTATAGAAAAGGAAAATGCAGGTTGTTTTGAATTAAGAAAAGATTTAGGAAAGTAAGGTTGCTTATTATGCTCAGGGATTGCCACCTACACAGGCTGAGAGCGAGGATGGGATGGAGCACATAAAGCCCGTGGAAGGGGTGGTCAAAGAAGGGCAAGGGGATGGAGACAGGGAAATCAGGGTTATAGGGGCAGGGGTAACCAAGGAGGAATAGACAGGAACACTTGTTTCAACTGTGGACAATATGGCCACTGGAGGAATGAGTGTCCCCACCCCAGGAAACCCCATCAAACCCCACACACCCCACCAACCCCACAATTCTCAAAATATGCCCTGTAGGCAAGAACAACACCAGATCCACTCCCAACACCACTGGCTAGCATATCGCTTAGTTCAGGACTTTAGAGCCCTGAATAGTTTAATTGTGCCCATTTCACCCATTGTCCTTGATGTGACATCCCTCATTACAGCCATTCCACATGATGCCACTTGCTTCACTGTCATTGATTTAAGTAATGCATTTTTTCTATACCTATTGATCAAGAGACACAGCTACTTATGGTTTTTACTTTTTGAAGGCTGTCAGTTTACCTGGACACGCTTACCCAAGGCTATGTGGATTCCCCAGCTGTTTATTCGCTGGTACTCCAACATACTCTAAAAAACATGGACCACCGGTCATGGTTCCGTCCTTTTTGCAAAATGTTGATGATTTGTTGTTATGTAGCCCTAGCTCTGAGGCAAGCACTGTGGATACTGTCAGCAACTATAGGTCACAAGGTTGTTAAACACAAAATGCAATTGTGTAAATCAAAGGTTGAATACTTAGGTTTTGTTCTGGCTTTAGGCACCAGACAATTGAGTCCAAAACGTATTGAGGTCATTCAGAGGATTCCTACACCCACTACTCGGAAGGAGTTGCTCACCTTCCTCGGCATGATTAATTACTGCCGCCAATGGATCCCTGAATGCTCCCATTATAACTCAATCCTAAGGGAGGCTGTACGTTCTGACAGCCCTGAAAATGTCTGCTGGTCACCAGACATGCTAGCTGCATATATTGCCCTTACAGTTGTTATTGTGCAAGCCCAGGCTTTAGGACTACCTGTGTATTGTAAACCATTTCATTTGTATGCTTGGGACAATTGTAAAACCATGGCCGCGGTCTGTGCACAAGAGCAAGGAGGCGGTATGCGTCCCATAGCATTCTTTTCCAAAGTAGTTCAAGCTCCGGTACAGGGTATGCCGGCGTGTCTCAGAGCATTGATAGCATGTGCAATGGCTGTTGAAACTGCTACTACTATCACACTAGGGCATCCTACAATACTTCATGCCAGTCACCAGGTCACTCAGCTGATAACAAATCTCACCACACAACACATGACAGCCCAGCACTTAAGTGGTTATGAGATTCTTTTTTTTAATACCCAGAATCTGTCTTTTGGATTAAATAAGGTTTAGAGAAAGATCAAAATGATCTGTTCTCTAAAGAGGGGAGAATAGGCATACTTGAAGAATAGGCATACTTGAAGCAAGCTGCTTTATTTTCATCAGTCAGGCACATAGCAAGCACCATTCAATTCCTCATGAATTCATTTTATATTAGGAATCTCAGGCAGCATGTACAGTCTTTTGTAAGATCGTGTGAACACTGCTCTTTTTACACACTTACAGATTGATTTTATTCATGTATCCAAAATTGGTAAGAAACAGCAATACTTACTGGTCATAGTTAATCAGTTTAGTAGATGGCATGAGGCCTTTGTGACATCTAGGGAAGATGCTAGTGAAGATTATTGTTACTGAAATTATTCCCAGGTATGGCTGCCCTCTGCAGATTGGCTCTGATAATGGCCCGGTTTTTGCCAGTGGGTTGCCCAGGAACTTGCTAAATTCTTGCAAGTTACCTGGCAGTTTCATATACCCTATCATCCACAGAATACAGGGGTAGTTGAAAGGATGAATAGGACTATTAAGGAAAAGCCCAGAATTTACCCAGGAACATGGGTAAATTGGACTAGATATCTACCAGCTATTTTAGCTGAGATAAGAATGAATCCCCACAAGGTGACTAAATTATCTCCATCTGAGATTTTTGATGGGATGACCTTTTCCCACACCCTGGGCCAGGGAACCGCTTGTTATAATGTCTGGGGATTTACAGCTAATACAAGAACAATATGTACAGGAGTTGTTGATAAAACCGAATGGTATGTATGACAATGTTTCTTCGCAGTTTTCCCTTACCTTCACAGGAACCTACTCATTCATACCAGCCCGGTGACAAGGTGTATATCCGTCAGCTGAACAGGACCAAGAAAGGAGGATACCCTTTTGGACCACCTGCTACTGTGATTGCTGTAACCAGAACCGCTGTCCTCACAGATTCCCACGACATCTGGATTCATGCATCCCGAGTGAAGCTGTGTCCAAAGAGGGGAACCAAGGAAGACAACACCACTCCTCGCTCGGAAACAGAAGAATTTCTCCTCAGCGAAGCATCATGGCTTTTACACCATATCGTAGATTGAGAGGATCATACGTACCTGAGACCAAGATTATGTTGTGTGCTATGCTTTCTGGAGTTGTTATACTCCCTCTGATATTGTTCCTTGAATGCCATTATGAGTACAAGTCAATGGCAAGTTTGAAACCTGTCTGTTTCTGGAAAAAGACTCTGACATGATGAACAATTCTTCAATACCCCCAGCCCAATTAGGCCTTAGCCCCTCATCTAGCATTCGTCACACACGCCCCCTCAAGAACCTTTCTCCACCACCTTTCTATCAGCATGCAATATGCAATCATTCATTCACTGAACGCATTTGGATGAATTGGACAAATAGTAACCCTTATAAGTACCAGTTACCCATATGAAATGTGTCTACAGCTAATGAAACCGATGCATTATGTTTGTTTAAAGGTTCACAGAAAATTGTTAGATCTTATAACGCAGAAATGTGCACAGTTAAGGTTGCATATCAATGTAAACAGACAGGCCTTATTACTTTTAATAATGATTATATAACTGGTATCATTAATTGGAGAAGGGGACAAATGTTAGTCATTATGAACGACACTACAATTGAGAACTATACACTACCTTATATTTTTACACCTTATTACTGTCCTTTATCCTCTACCATAGAACCAAAAGTCAACACGACACAGACACACCTATTCCGTCCACATGTGTTAATACAACTGCCTTCTTACAAGCTGTACATGTGTCATTAAAAGTCACTACTCTTGTTGTAACATTATGTAATACAACAAACAAAGGCAGAAAAGGGAATGGTATGACACACTGTTAGATGGTGCTGGAACCACTATGGGTATACTAAATAGTTATAGATATGGAGACCCTCAAGAATAAGTTAAACACAGCCAGCATGCATATAGGGACTGGTTTCCATGCTACTGCAAACTGGGCTCCAATTGTTGTTAAATCACAGGTTACAGGATTGGATTTAGATAAATCAATGTATAATTATTTAGATAATTTAACTGTTGCAACTATGAAATTCACTACAGGTCTAAGTAACTGGAGTACTTGTGCCATCAGGTATTTATGGATACAACAACAAGGATTGGCATTAGAAAACACACTAATGATTCCTAAACTAGAGAAGATTAGAGGAAAGCGTAATCTCACAGATAATGAATGGTTACTTCTAAAACCCCAATCCAGTAAATGCAATGGATGGTTAACTGGTAATGTTTCACATTTTTCATGCTCATGCTATTTTACATTATATCATACATCATCAAAGGATGTTAAATTAGCTTGTCAATTTAACACATTACCAGTACATGATCTTTTTGCCAAGAATTTAACCTGGTGGGCACCCACATACACAGGGGACTATATTTTCCCCAAAGATAACACACACAGGTAGCCACACATATCCTAAAAGGAGAACTCCTTAAGGTGAGTTCACAAATTCAGAATGATTTAGCCCATAATTGGTACAATGCTTTACTGGTTGGTCCCCTACTGGATCCCAGATAATGAAATCATTCTTCTATCTTTTTGTTATTATAGTCCTGATTTTATTGTGTATGATTTTATATAACTGTCACCTTACTTGTACATTGAGGAAGAGAGTACAGAAATTAATCCATAATGCAGAACAGAAACAATTAGAAATTCTCCTCTCGCCACTGTAGGGTATCAACCCATCTTTAAACTGGGCCTTAGGAATTACCACATGGGAATCGAGGTGAAGAAATTAATGAAAGTCCCGCAGGGAGTGACTAGCACCCCTGAAAATACCATGTGGAAGTTTCTCTGTCCTGGTAAGATTTTATCGATAAGATGAGCAATTGTTTTATTGCTCAAAGAGGGGAATGTAAGAATATTAAATAGTTAACTTGTTTATATGTATTTTATGCTTTTATAAGGTTTATAACATGATTATTGCTGACTGAAGGGATATTGAATACTTAAAGTCAATATGCTGACTGTGACAGACTAAGGTATTTCTTCTATAGGATGTAAGACAATGCTAAATTTCAGGATGTCTTGCCCATTCCGATTTTAAGGATATTCTTTTCCAGACGTATGCAAAAGCTTATCTTTCCATTGTCAGAATAACGTAATATAAGGAAGTAATAAATCTTATAGTCTGTACTGTATTTGCATATACCATGGCTAATGTAAGCAAACTATGTATAAAAGCCAGCTCTGGAATACACTCATTTGAGAGTCTTGTAAAGCTGTTGTCCGTGTGTTATTGCTTACAAATGATCCTCCATCAACGTTGATTATGGTGACCGAGGGATCGAGAACCGAGGGGATTAGAGTCCATTACAACATTAACCCTTTCACTCTCCTCTCCCCCCTTTCTACTAGTGGTTTCTCCCCTCTTCCCCCCTTTCCATTAGTGGTCTCTCCTCTCCCCTCTCTCCTCCCCTAGTGGTCTCTCCTCTCCCCTCTCATTGTCTCTCCTACCCTCCACCCTTAGTGGTATCTGCTCTCCCCTCTCCCCCTTAGTGGCCTCTCCTCTCCCCTCACCCTTAGTGGTCTCTTCTCACCCCCCTACCCTCCCCTAGAGACCACTGAGAAGCAGATTACAGTATTTAAGGCGAGAGAGCACAGTGGCATGGACCAGCACCTTTGCAGCATCTGGCGTTAAGTAGGGGAGGATGCGCGCAATGTTTTTGAGATGGTAGCGGCAGAATTTGTCGATAGACTGGGCGAAAGAGAAGTCGGAGTCAAAGAGAACACCTAGGCAGTGAGCCTGCGTGGTGGAGCTGATGGAAGCACCATTAACGTGGAGGGAGACAGAAATGGGAGTAGCAACACTTGAGGGAGGAGAGACCAGAAGTTCTGTTTTGGACAAGTTGAGCTTAATGAAGTGGGTAGCCATCCAGTTAGAAATAGGAGAGAGGCAGTCAGAGACACTAGTCAAGAGGGAATGGGAGAGATCAGGGGAGTACATAAAGATTTGCATGTCATCTACATAGAAGTGATATTGGAAGCCAAAGGAGCTAATGAGTTTACTAAGAGAGGCAGTATAGATCGAGAGCAGTAGGGGACCAAGGACTGAACCTTGGGGGACACCAACAGAGAGAGGTTGTGAGGAAGAGGCAGAGCCAGAGAAAGAAATGCTAAAAGAGCGCTGGGTGAGATAAGAGGAGCACCAGGAGAGAGCAATATCTTGTAGACCGAGATTAGAAGAAGGATGAGAAGAAGGAGGATGAGAAGAAGCTGTTGATGACCAACAGTATCAAAAGCAGTGGAAAGGTCAAGGAGAATTAAATATGCCAAAGGAGAGGGAGAGAGAAAGATTAAAATATAAACAGGGAGTTGGTCCCTTTGTGTGCAAACGGTGCCTGGGTTGTTCCCCTTGAGATCAAGGGACTACTCGTGTGGCAGTGATGGTCACTGAAGTCCACCCCAGACAATGTGTCCATGAGGTTGGGACAACAACAACACACCACCCATAGAACACAAGTTTAGGTGGGAAACATGGCTCAGCATCCACCCTCAGACTATGGAGTCTTTGGTTGAGAGGTAATGGAGATGTCTTTTAGTGATAGTGTGCCCTCTGGTGAGCCCAGCTTATATATAAAGGTTGAGCACTTAAACATAACAACAAAATTACTAAGATGTAGCGAACTGCGACCCCCCCTACTCCAGAAACATAATATATACATGAAGTCACATGTTCTACTGTTAGCTCCCAATATTGCCGTGCATATTAACTCTTACAAAGAATGGGAGGGGGCAGCCACAGTCTGCTCTAATACATTCATGACTATAATTTGCAAATATGAAGCCATTAGACTTGAAACGGTTCAACAAGAACTTGATAAAGAAATAGAGGAAGTTCAAAAAATAAAAAATGACCCTCTTTTTGAAAGTTTGGAAGTAAGACTTAAAACCAATTTAGACAAATTTTCACATCAGGTTAAGATAAGGAAGCATCAAAAATATCTCTGTGATGTCTCTGATTTTGAAGGAGGGAAGGTCTACCACCCCTTTAAGAGGAGAAGTAAAGTTGACTCTGATCATGTCAGTACATCTGAGTATTAGTCTACCGACACTGATTCAGAGCATCCCTCTACCTCACAAACACCTATGCAGACCACTCCACCAAAAAGTATCCTTAAAATACTTTTTAAGTATCCGACAGGTGGAACTGTTCCAGGGTCCACGTACCAGGAACAGGACCCTGGGTCAGAGACGACGAAGATAGTTTCTAAACCATCACTACACGTTATTAACCTTTCCAGCAAAATACTTACTGATATCCAACTTAGTATTATCCAAGTATTATCCAAGGGTCTCTCCTTTGTTCCTACTCCAACTTTCAACTAATTTCTTTGGACTAATGACATACACTTTTTTGTACAGAAATTGGCCCTGCACAAATATCACACTATACGCAAAGAAGCCAAAGCCTAGATTATGGGACTATCACTAAAAGGCCTAGACTGTCTTCAAACACTAGTTGAAATACTGGATCTTGGTGATGGCTCTATCCGTAGAGAGATTCCACACACTAATTTAAAATCAAAAAGCAGATTCACTCCACACTTCAAGGACTATAAGAATCTGGAAGTGTGTTTGGATATAGTGTGCAGGGAAATTGACTCCTTAACAATTGATGACTCTCAATTAAATATTGAGAAGAGCCTTACTGGACAGGAGAGGTTGGCAATTAAACAACTCCAAAAAAAACTTGACATAATTATCAAAGCCTCAGATAAAGGGTGTAACGTGGTAGTAATGGACAGGGAACGTTATATCAGTAGAGCAACTTTTGCTGGATAAGGTTACATACTGTACTCTCACAGTTGACCCAACCCCCCAATTTGTGGACGAATTACGAACCCTACTGATTGGAGCACTAAACTCAGATCTCATCTCTAGGAATGAATTTGATTTTATGAACATTAAGGAACCTACCCTATCCACCTTCTATTGCTTACCCAAGATACACAAGTCCCTGACAGAGCCAACAGGCTGGCCAATTGTATCTTGCTGTGGTAATCTTTCTCAAAATGTAAGCATATTTGTGGATAGGACCTTACTACCTATGGTACAAAGACTCCCCTCTTATTTGAGGGACACAAAGCAGCTACTTAAATTCCTAACTCAATTGGAGCTTCCCAGCCATGCTATTCTATGCAGTTTAGATGTTGCAACACTGTATAGTTCAATTCCACATAATCTAGGGATTGAACATATTTGGGCCTTTCTCCATCTTAACCCTAAGTTATCAGAGTTTTATGTGGACTTCATATCTGAACTGCTTAGATTTGTATTAACATGCAACATCTTTCTATTTAATGGTAAACTATTTCAACAAGTAACTTGCAGCGCAATGGGTACGCCCTTACGCAAACCTACATCTAGGTTGGTGGGAAAAGAACATTAGGATTGACCCTATCCTGAAACCATACATGAACCAAGTCCTTGATTGGAAAAGGTACATAGACGACATTTTTGTCGTCTGGCTTGGTACCATGTATGAATTTGAGGAATTCGTTTAGACACTGAACATCAATCTGTTTAATCTATGCTTCACTAGTGAGACAGGTTGATTGGCACTCTCCTTCCTTGATATATCTATATCTTTAGGGAGTGATGGTAAGATTCAGACTACTCTCTTTAGGAAACAGACGGCAACTAACAGCCTACTAACAGTAAATGCACCTCCTTGGATGATTTCAAGGACAAAGCTAGATCCTTGAGGCACTCCTTTAGGGAAAAGGGATACCCAAAAAGAGCCCTAGAAATGGCCTATACTAGAGCTCTTGTAACTGATCGCCAATCTTTAATTGAAGAGAGTACCAAAAAATCAGAAGGTGGCATGATACGGGGCATTGGCACCTTTGATGCAGGCTGGGAAACTATGCAAAGTATCTTTAAAAAGTTCTGGTCCATCTTAACATACGATAGACATCTTAAGGAAGTCGTAACCACTTATCCATCAATTACGGCACGTAGAGGGAGGAACCTGAGAGACCTATTAGTACTCAGTCACCTTACCACTACTGTTAACCCATCTTCAAAACTATTTGCCAGCAGGTAATTACCAATGCCGCCACTGCAGTACATGTCCCTTTATAAAGAGGCATTCTAAATGCTATTGTAATAGCACCAGGACAGAAACGTTTCACATGCATTCGTTTTTTAATTGCCGCACGGTTGGAGTTATCTATCTGCTCACCTGTTCCTGTGGTTTGATGTATGTGGGAAAGACATTCCGCCACTTTAAATACAGAATCCAGGAACACGTGAATTCAGTAAAAAGATGTTTAGAAACTCCAATCTCTAGGCATTTACACTTGCATTATGACCACTCTTCAGTTGGTATATGTTTTATGGGCTTGGAACATATACCACAACCACCACAGAAAGGAGGTTGGGACATCAAACTTCACCAGAGATGGATATTTAAGTTAAAGACTTTATTGCAACAAGGACTAAATGAAGGGTTCTCATATTCGTCCTTTATATAGGGGTTGTTCTCCCTTAATGTGACTGTGTGAAATTTCCTAATTCTTTTTCTTAGTAGCTTATACAACGTACAGTTGTCTAAGTTTTAATTACCTTTTTATTATAAAAAAATTTTTTGGGTGTTTCTTTCACGTGTTTTCTCTCTTACTTTAAATATAAAGATATAGATACCCACACAATAATACGGATCCCACAGATACCCACACAAAACTCTCTAGCTTTAAATATAAGGCCTTTCAAATTACACTATCAGTGGATTTATTATCCCAAAGGTATATTGCGATGTTGCTGTATTATATGCCAATACGTTCATCACCCTTAGGATTAAATCTGTGGATGATGTTTTGGCATGGGCTAATGATTAGTAATACGGTGATATCCATTTATGACTATATTGTTATTATATATATCTGACTTAATAATATGACAATATATAATCTTGGACTCAGATATATTTATATCTAAAT